AGATTTCGAAGGTCACTTCCAGTCACTCAAATCACTCCCAGTCACTCAACCTAGTTCTGAAACGTCTACTACTAAACCAGTCACTCAACCTAGTTCTGAAACGTCTACTACTAAACCAGTCACTCAACCTAGTTCTGAAAATCCTACTGCAAAAAAATTACGTACAGATGCAAATGAAAAAAATCATAACAATAGTCCCCGTTTCCTAGTCATCTGTAGTCCTTCTGGCGAAATGCATAAGATGTCTCCTTTCGTAATAAACAAATACATCCAGTCCTTGTATTGGTGAGCCGAGAAATATAAAGCGTCTCCGCTCCGGAGACTTGCTTATTGATACAACCTCAGCCACCCAGTCTGCTTCTTTACTTCAGAATAACTAAACTTGGGCAAGCGAATGTCACTGTAACACCACATAAGTCACTGAACTTATTGTCGGGGTGTAATCTCAGAATTCGACCTTCTGTATGTTTCTGAAGAAGAGATCGCTTCTGAGCTATCCGAACAAAATGTCTGCGGTGTAAGGCGGATCAAGATGCGTAAAGAAGGTAAGTTGATAGACACGAAACACGTGATCCTTATCTTCAACACGCCTGATCTGCCTAAGAATATTAAGGCCGGATATTTAAATTGTCCTGTAAGACCTTATATTCCAAACCCTATGCGATGTTTCCAATGCCAGCGTTTCGGCCATTCTAAGACGTCTTGTCGTGGCAGCCTCACATGCGCCCGATGCTCACAGATTGGCCACGATTCTGAAAATTGTACCGCTGCGCCTCTTTGTATAAATTGCAAGGGTGAGCACCCAGCATTTTCACGCCTCTGCCCAAAATGGAAATTGGAAAAAGAAGTGCAGGCTGCAAAGGTTACGAGGAACATCTCATTTGCCGAAGCCAGAAGATTAGTCCAGAGCACACAGCTCCGGCCAAATACATCATACGCCAGCGGTGTTAAATCATCTCGTACAGTTGCCACCCAAACATCAATAGGCACACAGACCCTACCAAATAAAACCCAACCGTCTACATCCAACAAGAAAAAAGAAAATGCAACCCATATAGTACAAAAGAAAGAAACAGTTATTCAAAGTAAGCCCAAAACTACTACACATAAAATATCCAATAAAAAAAAAATAGAAGTCACAGCAATAGCTCTTTTGATGAGATGATTTCTGAATCTGCGGATTCAGACTTTATGGAAGTAGAAGAGGGTCTAGAAGTTCCCAGGCATCTACTTCCACGAAAAACAAAAGAACAGCACAGAAAAAACAAAAACCATTCATAATGGCCACCCTCGTGTCATGGAACTGTCGCGGTTTCCACCGAAATTTGCTCGACATCAAAGCCATAATTAATGCTCATCATCCTGTATGCTTCGCAATACAGGAAACAAATCTAAAACCAAACAACAGCAAAACTTCGGAGGTTTTCTTTCGTCAGGAAAGATAACATTGCAGGTGAGCGTGCCAGTGGAGGTGTAGGTCTCCTCACCTCACTGGATTATCCCTCAAATGTGCTTTCTTTGACGACATCCCTCCAAGTTGTCGCTACTCAAACAAATTTTGATATTGTTGTTACAGTCGTTTCTCTGTATTTGCCTCCAAATGAGCATATTGATCAGCAAGATTTAAATGGTCTTTTAGAGCAGCTGCCTGAGCCTTTCATCATAATAGGAGATTTTAACGGCCATAGTCCGCTCTGGGGTAGTAAAGATACAAATTGCCGAGGAAGACAAATTGAGCAGATGATCGAAGATCATAGCCTTTGTCTCCTCAATAATGGGCAAGATACTTACTTCCATGAGCCTTCAAAGACATTCCATGCTCTCTCGACCTTGCCATCTGTTCACCATCTCTGTTGCCTTTTTGCACTTTTAGTGTGGGAAATGATCTTTACAACAGTGATCATTATCCCATTCTTGTGTCTCTTGCACGAAGAGGAGCAAACCCCATGTCGAGATCCCCTCGATTCATACTGGACAGGGCAGACTGGGAACTCTTCTCTTCCATTGCAGAGCTCACAGATGAAATGGTAGAAGATGTGCATATCGATGACGCTGTTGAAGCTGTTACTAATACTATTATTCAGGCAGCTATGCTTTCCATTCCTAGAACATCAGGAAAACTACTAAAATATTCAAAACCATGGTGGAATCGCGACTGTCATGAAGCACTGAAAAAACAGAAAAAAGCATGGGGTATTTTTCGTAGATATCCTACTCTGCGAAACCTCATAGCCTTTAAAAGAGCCAAAGCAAATGCACGAAAAGTAAGAAGGCAGAGCCAGAGGGATTCCTGGATTTCATATGTGTCGTCAATAACATCCTCCACGCCTAGTAAGCGGGTTTGGGAAAGAGTTCGAAAAGCATGCGGCAATATATAAAGACCACTCACTTTCCTTTTTGGAAAAAGATGGCCGAGTGATTAGCTCCATAGAAGAAATTGCGAATACTATTGGTGAGACATTTGCTTCCGTTTCTTCCAGCAGAAACTATACACCTGCATTTCTTTCTATGAAGCAGCACTCTGAAATAAATCCCATCGCATTCAACTCTTCCAAATCTGAGCCTTACAATAGAGACTTTACTATGCTTGAATTAAGGAGTGCTTTATTGCAGACACATAGGTCTTCTCCGGGTCTTGATGGCGTGAATTATGAAATGCTAAAGCATCTGTCCTATAAGTCACTGAATGCCCTTCTCACTCTTTACAATAGGGTGTGGAAGGAGCGTGCCTTTCCCAGTGCATGGAGGAGAGCTGTTGTCATTCCTATTGCTAAGCCAGGGAAAGATCCAAGGAATCCCTCCAACTATCGGCCAATTGCCCTTACGAGTTGCCTCTGCAAACTGTTTGAAAAGATGGTAAACAGCCGCCTAGTCTACTTCTTGGAAAAAAATAATATTATATCGCCTTATCAAAGCGGTTTTCGAAAGGGGAGAACTACCGTAGATAATATGCTCCTCTTGGAGACATGAATTCGTAAAGCTTTCGTAAGAAGGAGTAACCTTGCCTCAATATTCTTCGACATTGAGAAAGCTTATGATAAGGCATGGAGATACGGTATACGTATTTCGCGATCTTCACGAGAGTGGCTTGCGCTTCAACCTACCAATTTTCATTCAGAATTTCTTGAACACTAGAACTTTTCAAGTAAGAATTGGCTCTGTTTTATCAGATGTTTTTGAACAGGAAGAGGGTGTGCCTCAAGGCTGTGTGCTTAGTGTAACCCTGTTTAGTTTAAAAATAAACTCTGTATTAAAAGAACTTCCTCCCACCATCTTGGGATCTCTATATGTTGATGATCTGCAGATTAGCTGTCGAGGAGCAGACATGAGATACGTAGAGAGGCAACTGCAGATGGCTCTGAATAAGATCCAAGAATGGTCAGACAAACAGGGATTTACATTTTCGAAACAGAAAACTGTGTGCGTGCACTTTTGTAGGAAGCGTGGTCTCCATCCTGAACCTGAGTTATATCTGAATGGTACAATTATTCCAGTTGCGCCTGAAGTAAAATTTTTAGGAGTGACGTTCGACCGAAAATTGACTTTCCTTTCTCATGTTTTAAACCTGAGAAAGAAGTGTCTAAAAACACTAAATATTTTAAAAGTGTTGGCGAACACCTCCTGGGGTGCAGAGCGTTGCTCCATGCTTCGCATTTACAGAGCGCTTATCCGCTCTAAACTGGACTATGGCTCAGTTGTTTATGGATCCGCTCGGTCATCTGTTTTGTTAAAACTGGATCCTGTTCACCATCAAGCTCTGCGGATTTGTTCAGGAGCTTTCATTCAGGACTTCTCCTGTGCAGAGCCTATATGTTGACTGTAACGAACCATCACTTTATCTGAGGCGTGAGCAATTGTCCCTTTTGCAATATTTTAATACTCTATCTCAACCTGAACATCCCAATAAGCTGTGCTTACTTGATAATGAGTGTAACACATTATTTGAAACACGTCCATCCTGTGTTCCTACTTTCCCTTTAAGAGTTCGCCCTGTCATTGAGGAACTCTCCCTCTCTGATATGCACCTCCAAGCAGTACAGAATTTTGAAATTCCACCTTGGGAAAATTCACGGATCCAGCTTCTTGATGTTTTTAAACATCACGTAAAGGCGAGCACTAACGAGATCGTTTACAGACAACTTTTCGCTGAGTACAATCCTGGTGGTAGTGGATGTTCTCAAAATTCATAGAAATTTAACGATACGAGGATATGAAATCCTGTACTGCTGGGTTCCCGGGCATACGGGAATAAAGGGAAACGAGCTTGCAGACATCGCGGCAAAATCTGCTGTTGAACTGTCCAGTCGCCTTATCCCTTTTAGAGACATCTGCTGTGTCATCAAGGGGAAGATACGGAAAAAATGGCAGCAAATTTGGGATGTTCAGCATCACAACAAGTTGAGAAACGTCAAGCCTAGAATTGAGCATTGGGATTTTGCTGGAAATCGTAAAGAGGACGTTCTTTTGACTCGACTCAGAATTGGTCACACCAGAGTCACACATAACTATCTTCTCAAAGCTGAAAATGAGCCTGTTTGTTTTAATTGTAATGTTTGTTTATCTGTTCGTCATATTTTAATTGAGTGTCCATGTTTTAATAGTCTTCGCCAGAAATATTTTAATAGCTGTGACTTACCTCTCGACCGTTTAATCGGAAGAGAGGTCAATTGTAATTTATTTTATTATTTAAAAGAGATTGGCTTTTATTACCAAATGTAATTTGTTTTGAAGGCTGTGTCTTGAATTTTAATATGTGCTTTTAACTTGTGTTTATATGACTTCATCCTCTGGATTTGGTACATTTATCTACTTGGTTTTATTTATTGATTTTTAATGTCATCAATTGTAATCATCTCATCTTTTTTTTGGCGCGTCATAATCATCTCTGGTTTTTGCGCCATAATCACTCACTCGCTCACTCACTCTCAGCTGTATTGAATATTATATAATGAAGATTTGGTGAAGATGATACTGAGAGAATACGAGAGCATTTCACTCACCTCCAAAGATTCACTGTCTACGTTGGGTACACTGTCAGAGTCGCTGCCGCTTTTCCGCCTAAGAGAAGTGAATCTGCTTTTGAAAGATTTGGCATCAGCTTCCTTATTGTCAGAAGTTGTTACTCCCGATTCGTTGTTGCAAGTATTCGACGAAGATGGGGATGGAGAAAGTTTCTTGAGGCTCTTCAATAGCTCTCCGGAGGCCATGCTCTTGCTGAAGAACTTGGAGGACTTCCACGCCGCGTTTTTTGGAGATTCGATTTTCTGCCGTGGAGAGACTTTGGAAGGTGAACGTAGTAATTCCGGAGACATCTTCGGCGATCGGACTATAACAGGGTTTTCGGGAGAGTCATCTGCCGCTCGAACTCCCCTCCGAGGACTAAGGGACCTGCGGTCTTGGGTGGGGGATTCGCCCACTTTGCAAATTTCTCGCTGTTGTAATGCCATTCAATTGCTTAACATCAATGAATGATACTTCGGATGAGGTTAGATTTCTTTTCACTCCTACGGACATGATAAAAAATAATGAATTATAAATTTTGCGAGAAACTGAATTCAAATTAATTTCATGCAAATGGTTTATTATATATCAAAGATCATTTAATGACTTGATTTCACATGTACCAAAAACGTTAATAACTAAATATTAATAATTACGATTTTCAAGATCTACACTGCAATTGGATGATTAGTAACAACGAAAAAATTCTCGAGACTAAATTTGCTTGAAATAGAATATATTCAATGTTACGACTTCGAAAACCTGTATACCACTTTACCTTTAGAAGAAATTCATAGTAGCCTACTTACTCTCCCCAGTTTCTTTCCGCAGATTCATACAATTTCTCTAGAAGAATGGAGACTTTTCCTCAAAAGTGTACTTTTTAACAATTATTTGCAATTTGATAACACAATCTTTAAGCAAGTACAGGGAATACCTATGGTCGGAAACTGCTAAAGAATTTAAGTTTGTACGTTCACTTAATTTTCAAGAAAGGAAATACTACCAACACATCTTTCGATATATTCATCATGTTATTGCCTTTAATAAATTTAACAAACTAGAAAATACAAATATTTACCCTACTTGCCTCAAACTTAATGCCACTAACTCTATTCAAAATTATATTGTTTACCTAGATCTTCAAATTCTTAATTACAATCTTATTTAAATATTTGACAAACGCAGAGACTTCAATTTCATACACTAAAACTTACTAACTGGTTTTCTAACATTTCGATACAGTCATTATCAATCATTATCAATACAATAATTGCACAACTTCTTAGAATTAAAAGAATCTGTAATAACGCAGACCTCCTTCAAGAAGAAATACTGTACTTCATTAAAATCTTGCAAAGCAATCTTATTCCAAAATTATTAAAAAATTATATCATTAAAAATTGTTTTAAGAAAACTGGCATTTGCCTCTTATTTTAGATTATTTGAATTAGATAACAAAATTTTTACTTAAATCCCAAGGGAAGGTAACTGATGGATGGCTAATTCAATTGATCTAATTGTAAAAATTTAACATAATTTTCTTCTACTGCCTCATTTTTCTCTTAATTGGCACAAATATTCAGTTAAATTATTAAATTTTTTATTTAATATCGCTTTTTTCTGGCCATACCTATTTTTTATTAATTTAAATGCTATTTTCATTTCAAAAACGCTTGTCCACCCACTAGTGCGAAGAATTACAACTCTTTATTAACAAATTGCTATTTTTCCAATTTCAACTCCTTTCGGCCAGATAAGCAGTTTCTTTGAAGTTAGCCATTTTGTTTTTAGCTTCACATTTCTTCACGACACAGAAGATTCCATTTTATTAAAAATAGCCAACGACATTCACCCCCATCTAAAAATACAAGTTTTTTTCCGTTTGGGGGTTGCTTACCATTAACTATTGCTTCTTTACGTTAGTTTCGCCCTTCTACGAAGCTTCACCGTATTGGAGAAATTTAACTACTTTAACAGGTAACGCTCCTTTAGAATGCTTCTTTTTACGGCAAACCTTAGCAGCAATTTTGATCATTTTTAGTTAAACATACCACCGCTCTGGACGTAAATATGTTTCGTCCTTTTTTGTATTCCTCTTTGGTCTTAGCGTTTCCATACGTTTTTATCATGTTTCTTTTGATTCTTCTCTTTAAAAAGTTTATAATTTTCGGGTTCGAAGGTGTGTCCCGTATAATTGTGTAATTTTTGGACTAATAGCATTTTAGCTATTTATTTTAATTGTACATTTGCCTAACTAGGCTTTCTTGTTTAATAGTAAGCATTACATTTACAATTTTAATTACAGCGCGTCAAATGCTTTTTAGTTGTTTTAATTTTAATTGTACATTTGCATAACTAGGCTTTCTTGTATAGCTTTTCTTGTTTAGCAGTAACTTTTACATTTACAATTTTAATTTACACCGCGTCGGGAAAAGAAGAGACATAACTGAGACTTACTAAACTATTTTAGATTATAAAGTTGGGTTATTCTATTAATGAAATTACGTAGTATTTACGTAGTATTACGTAGTATGTAGTCTCAATTATTATCGTTTGACGAATTATATAGGTATTATATAGCGAATTATACAGCGCTATAAGTATTTACTTGGTTCGGGTTTTGAGTCCCTCAGGGGGCTCACTTTCGTGAGTACGGGTGTGGCAATCCCGAGGTACCCTAGCCCTTCAGGGGATCATCTTCTTGATGAGACGAGTGTCACGATCCTGGAGCCCCAGTGATCTATCCTCTTTTCTGTCTCCTCTCCTCTTGGCTGGAAATTTTTCCCTTCCCTTCTCCCTTGTGGTTTCTCTCTACGGAGTTAGGGCTTCTTCACCAGAGACTGGAACAGACCTTGTTTCTAGTTTCCGAGTGGCGAGAAAACTGCCCACGTGTTTGCCGTGCGTGGAGACCCGTGTCGCTGAAAAGAAGGGTCCTGGTATTTGAGGGCCGAGGTACTGTCCCCAACACACTACTTTGGCCTCTGCTTCAGCTAAACGGGAGGCACCTTAGACGTCCTCACGGGTGTCAATCGGCTGGTCACTAGTCCTTGTGTCAGTGGTTTGGGGTCAAGCTCTCGGGAGTACCTGCTTTCGGGAAAGCCGACTGAGGGGCTTCAGTTTGCGTATAAGTCCGGCTAGCCCTAACACAGGAATCTGTGTTCCCTTGTTGGGCTCCGTGGTGGGCGGGGCCGTCGGACCCGAATCTTTTCCTTTTTCAATATGGCTAATTCTCACATCTACCTTATTAAAGATTTTGAAGTCACTCCAGTTACTCAAGTCGCTCAACCTAGTTCCGAAGAAAAATCTACTGTTAAAAAACTACGTACTGATGCAAATAATCCAAATAGTAATCCCCGTTTCGTTGTTATATCTAGTCCTTCTGGCGAGCTGCAAAAGATGTCTCCATTTGTAATACATAAGTACATTCATTCTTGTATTGGTGAGCCCAAAAGTATAAAGCGTCTCCGCTCTGGAGACTTGCTTGTTGATACGAATTCAGCCACCCAGACTGCTCCCTTACTTGAAGTAACCAAACGTGGGCAAGCGAATGTCACCGTAACAGCACATAAGACCTTGAATTACTGTCGTGGTGTAATCTCGGAAATCGACCTTCTGTGTTTTCCCGAAGAGATCGCATCCGAGCTATCTAACCAAAATGTATGTGGTGCAAAGCGGATCAAGATACGCAAAGAAGGTAAGTTGATCGATACGAAACACGTGATCCTTACCTTCAACACGCCTAATCTGCCAAAGAATATTAAGGCCGGTTACCTAAATTTACCTGTAAGACCTTATATTCCAAACCCTATGCGATGCTTCCAGTGCCAGCGTTTCGGCCATTCTAAGATGTCTTGTCGTGGCAGCCTCACATGCGCCCGATGTTCACAGATTGGCCATGATTCTGAGAACTGTACCGCTGCGCCTTTTTGTATAAATTGCAAGGTTCAGCACCCAGCATTTTCTCTTTTGTGTCCAAAATGGAAATCTGAAAAGGAAGTCCTGAGTCTAAAAGTTACTAGGAACATCACATATGGTGAAGCCAGAAGATTAATCCAAAGCACGCTAGTGAGACCAAATACATCTTACGCCAGTGCTCTAAAAACATCCCGTACAGTTGCCACCCAAACTTCAGTTGGTATGCAGACCCCACCAAACAAAACTCAACAGATTACAAACAATAAGAAAAAAGAATAATGCAACCCATATAGTACAGAAAAAAGAAACAGTAATTCAAGGCAAACCTAAAATCGTGACTGAGAAAATAATAAATAAAAGTAGAAGCCCCAGCAATAGCTCTTTTGATGGAATAACATCTGAATCAGACAGTATGGAAGTAGAGGAGGGTCTAGAAGTTCCGAGGCATCTACTTCCACGAAAAACCAAACAAGAGCACAGAAAGAACAAAAACCAATCATAATGGCCACCCTCGTGTCATGGAACTGTCGCGATTTCCACCGAAATTTGCTCGACATCAAAGCCATAATCAATGCTTATCATCCTGTATGTTTCGCAATACAGGAAACAGATCTAAAACCAGAACAGCAAGCAAAACTTCGGAGGTTTTCATTCGTCAGGAGGGATAACCTTGCAGGTGAGCGTGCCAGTGGAGGTATAGGTCTCCTCACTTCACTGGACTATCCCTCAAGTTCCTTTCCTTTGACGACACCCCTCCAAGTTGTCACTACTCAAACAAATCTTGATATTGTTGTTACAGTCGTTTCCCTGTATTTGCCTCCAAAAGAGCATATTGATCAGCAAGATTTAAATGGCCTTATAGAGCAGCTGCCTGAGCCTTTCATCATAATAGGTGATTTTAAAGGCCACAGTCCTCTCTGGAGTAGTAATGATACAAATTCCCGAGAAAGACAAACTGAGCAGACATAGCCTTTGTCTCCTAAATAATGGGCAGGATACGTACTTATATGAGCCTTCAAGGACATTCCACGCTCTCGACCTTGCCATCTGTTCACCATCTCTGTTGCCATTTTGCACTTTCAGTGTCGGAAAATGATCATTACAACAGCGATCATTATCCCATTTTAGTGTCTCTTGCACGAAGAGGAGCATAACCCCATGTCGAGACTGTCCCTCGATTCATACTGGACAGGGCAGACTGAGGAACTCTTCTCTTCCGGTTAAGAAGCTCACAGAGGAAATGGTAGAAGATGTGCATATCGATGACGCTTTTCAAGTGCTAGGAATGGAAAGCATTAGTTGCCTAATACTATTATTCAGGCAACTATGCTTTCGATTCCTAGAACATCAGGAAAAATACTAAAATATTCGAAACCATGGTGGAATCGCGAATGTCATGAAGCATTGAAAAAACAGAAGAAAGCATGGGGTATTTTTCGTAGATATCCTACTCTGCGAAACCTCATAGCCTTTAAACAGAGCCAAAGCAAATGCACGAAAAGTAAGAAGGCAGAGCCAAAGGAATTCTTGGATCTCATATGTGTCGTCAATAACCTTCTCTACGCCTAGTAAGCGGGTTTGGGAAAGAGTTCGAAAAGCATGCGGAATCTACTCGTATAAAGACCACTCACTTTCCTTTTTGGAAAAAGATGGCCGAGTGATTAGCTCCATAGAAGAAATTGCAAATACTATTGGTGAGTCATTTGCTGTCCGTTTCTTCCAGCAGAGAAAACTATTCACCTGCATTTCTCTCTATCACGCAGCACTCTGAAGTAAATCCCATCTCACGCCTTCAACTCTTCCAAATCTGAGCCTTACAATAGAGCATTTACTATGCTGGAATTAAAGAGAGCTTTATTGCAGACACATAAGTCTTCTCCGGGTTTTGATCGCATAAATTACGAAATGCTAAATCATCTGTCCTATAAGTCACTGACTGCCCTTCTCACTCTTTACAATAGAGTGTGGAAGGAGAGTAGTTTTCCCAGTGCATGGAGGAGAGCTGTTGTAATTCCTATTGCTAAGACCAGGGAAGGATCCAAGGAAATCCCTCCAACTATCGGCCAATTGCCCTTACGAGTTGCGTATGCAAGCTGTTTGTAAAAGATGATAAACCAGCCGCCTAGTCTACTTTCTTGGAAAAGAATAACATTATATCGCCTTATCAAAGCGGGTTTCGAAAGGGGAGAACAACCGTAGATAACATGCTCTTCTTAGAGATATCCATTCGAAAAGCTTTTGTAAGAAGAAATTCACCTTGTCTCAGGTATTTTCTTTACATTCAGAGAAGCTTATGATAAGGCATGGAGATACGGTATACTTCGCGATCTTCACGAGAGTGGCTTGCGCGGCAACCTACCAATTTTCATTCAGAATTTCCTGAACACTAGAACTTTTCAAGTAAGAATTGGCTCTGTCACTTGTTTTTGAACAGCAAGA